GTAGGTCTACAAGCCACAGGTGAGTAATTCTTCCAAGCTGCCTGTGGTTGTGTGGGAAATCTCTAAAAATCTGGACTGACATCATTGGTTGCTGACTTGTAATACGAATTAATCGATTAACGTGATTACCACCATCCATATCCTATCTAGCAATACGATACCATAATTTTTATTCCATGGCGTAATCTACTGCTGACTATATTTGGCTTTAGTAGCTGATCAGGTTCCAATCAGATGACTTAAGGTGTCCAGAGATTGGGATTAGCCCCCTTCTATTACGCTCACCAGTACAGGTATTTTCACCTGAAGACAGGAGCACAGCCAGCTTCCAAAATGTGGTTTTCCTTTTTCACAATTCTGAAGAGGAGTAAGTCCAGAAGAACAGCAAAACTGTGTGTAACACACCCTTTAGAGTAAATCAAGTGTGATGTTTGGCAATGCTGCAAATCATGTAACAGTGATGAGCTACTGAACTGACCAACTTACACAAATCTGGCTGCCTATGGATACTGTTTTCAGCCATGCAACCTCCACTCTATCTGAGCTAGATGTCTGAATTGATATAATCTCCTTGGCTTCACCATCGTTACACTAATTGGTGACTTGTGTAAATCATACAGATCCTTAACAGGTAATATCATAAACAGCTCACACGTCCCCAATAGGTCCGAATATTTTGTAGGCACGTTTGTAAGTAACTCAATTCAATGGAATGAATTATGTAACAGCTTACTTGGTACAGACATTTTACAATAAAATTTAAAACTCCTCACATAATGCCTGACAATATTATAAACAACTACAATACACTTTAGAGAGACACACAATTGCTCAGGAACTAGAGCAGGGGTTCTCAATCTGCAGTTTGATGAAGTATTCTGTGAGGCATCAGTATTAGGCCACACCTACCACCATGATAAATGTTCAGCTTAATTAGTAACAATAAATCAAGAACTGGGACATATTTTAGTAATAAATACTTGAAGGGATACATTAAAACAGCAAGAGCACAAATTAAACTTATAAGATCATTGAAGCAAAAGCAGTGTCAGATATCACAATGAGTGATCTTGTTAAAGAAAATTCTTGGGTAATATGCAAACTTGTTTGCACTGGCACATTTTAATAATTTTAATAAACTGACCTTATCTTTAAATTAACTGTTGTTATTTATATCCTTGCAGTCCATAAGTCAATAATAACAAGTGAATGAGGCCCTAGGTCTGTGAGAGGTTGGGAACCCCTGGCCTAGAGGAACAACCATTTATACAGCCCTAACCAAATTTGTGTGTCTGTTTTCATTACTTTGTAACAGTCCAAGACACCATTTTATTTCATACTTGTAGAATACAGTATATTTTTATAATGCAATAATTATACTGATAAAACTGAATGACACACTATACCTGTTCAGACAACAAAAAAAAAAACACAAACTGTAAAGACCTTTGCAACAAGTTCTTCATGTGAAAGGTCGCATGAAAGTGCACACAATCACACAACACAGTAATGGCGCACATTCAAAATTACAAGATTATAGATATCTGTACAGTTTTCATGTAACATGCAAAGTGAAATTCAGTTCAAATTGACTAGAAATATCACACTACTGTCCTCTGCACTTTTCACCATACTTATCGACAGATACATAACACCATAACTGTTACAATTCTATTGTAGTGATGATGCATATAATGTTCTGATCACTTTATAAAAGGATTTATCAGTAATTTTGTACTGTACAAGCAGCAGTTCAATATTCAATGCAGTGAACCCCCAGTAGCATAATATTCATGGCAAAACTCAATCATGTAACACAATACTTTTAGTCATGCTACACAATCAAAATATCCACACACAGTCTAGCCATGACAGTACAAAAGAACTTCACTGTAGTGAGTAAAATTGTTAGCAGCATCAATCTATTAATATTACATAAGTGGAAAAGTTGTACAAATGAACATAAATTTTTCAACACAATCATTACAATGAGGAAATCCTAACTGCAATTTTTTTCATAACTTCTTGCACTGACTGCACTATCAGCTTCACTTTTGTAACTATTTTATGCTGATAATTCACAAGGCTAGTGACTGTTATCCCATCCTGTCCTCTAGTCTGAGAAAATCTGCATCAGAATCTGCATGTAGCTTGTCCCATTTTTTAGCCAATCAGAAATATCCAGCAAGTGCCTTCATGCCATACTGTGATATATGTAATCAGATGTTAAGAATTCATATTTCAACAATTTTTAGATATGATGCATATCCTTTGAAATTATAACTTTTCTGAATTTTATTAATTCTTGTTGCACTGTAACTATTTCTCCAAAACATTGAACTCTTCCTTGTGAATGTATATTTTCATATAAATTATGGCAAATGGATGGCGTTGGCTTAAGATCGTGGCCAGTGGCGGACCTTGGTGTTGTCGGTGTTGAACCTGCTGGTTTTGCTACCAGGGAGTTAGTTATACACAGTGTTAACACAAGGAATAAAGAAACACCTTCATAGACCAAACTTTCATAACTTCAGAAAGGTGCTTACTATGTTGTATGAAAACCTTCAACAGTCTACCACCTAACCTCAAAATTCTTTCAGATAAAAGGAATCATAACCCTTTTAGAGGTTACTGTATTCACACAGTATTAATCATCATCATCAATATATCTGCTGTACAGCAGTATATTTACTATAACATTTTAATATTCAAATGTTCAACACGTATCATATGTAAAACCTAATTAATATTTTAACTGTCTTTATGGAAGTGTCTCAGAGCTTTGTCTTCTTCAGTGCCTGTACTGAAGACTACAATCCACATATTAACCACAGTGAAAACCAAGAATCTCATATGTACAAGGTAAAAAAAGAATTGCATATTAGCTATCCATAGTGCAAATGCTAAACAACAAATGTCATCTGATGTTCAGTTTTTATCAAATGAGGGCAAGCGGTTTTCCCATCCGTACATGGATGTAACTTCACTGCTGCATGTGCCAGTAACAGTTATGGAGTTAAATATTACAAGTGTATAGGGCCAGAGACATGGCTGTAACAAACTTATACAGCAATTAATACTTGTGCTGTGTTCTTAGGAATTGGCACAGCATCACAAGATTCATCACACGGTGGAATCACATTGGAGACATGTCTGTATCAGCATTGATCAACGCTCTGATAATTCCCAGCAGTCAAATAAGAAATAGTGAAACACATGATGCAAGAGTTACCTCTTACAAACACTGTCAATACCTAGAAGCAAGACATTCAATTTGTTTATGCAGAATGTCACTGATAATTCGCACAATCATGTCTCTGGCTACAAAGAAGAAATCCTGCCAGTGCTTTTGAAAATATGGACAACTGTTTTCACAAAACAGAAATCTGTAACATAGCAATCACTCTAACTGAATTTCCTCTCGTTGATTTATACTATTATTCAGGTACAGGTTGATAAAACACAGCTTCAGTATGACATGAGATTTATATATTTTTAAACACCAAACATAATCCCAGTATTCAGAAGTTCTGCAATTTTACGTTCCTTGTTAGGTTGCAGTGTTTTTGGTAAATGCAAGGATGAATACAAGTGCAGAAAGGGGAAGATAAAGGAATAATTAAAGGAAATACCACAACATCAGTTAGAAAATTATGTTTATATAAACAGAAAATAAATGTCACAATGAAGACCTGAGTTCAGTTCCTGGTCACTAACAGGTGTTACATTTAATTCAAATCTAAATCCCTGAATAGTGACAGCTCAAATCAACAGATGCCACAGTACAAGCACATCACGGAGACATACATAAGACACAAACCCCTGTTCTGCAGCCCTTCGTCCTGCTCTATACTGACATTATCCTATGACATGACACCTAATCTCACTTCCCAACACAGCACAAAATCACCCATTATTTCCAAATATCACAATTAAATAAAGTTTTCTCATTCTCAAAATTACTTATACAAACTATTTACATGACGCCCTCAAAGAATTTTTTTATACACACTAACAAACCGAAGTCCATGTTTTCAAAAAGACGTGGCAAGGTCAATGAAACAAGTAATTGGACATTTATGTACTGTAAGGTTATGTACCTGCTGCCAGAGTAGCTCTCATCGTAATAATCTTTCCCTCCACCACCAGTGCCGTAGTCCTTCCTTTGTCCAAAACGGCCACCACGTCCCCTACCACCACCTCGACCAGTGTACTGGAATTCTGAGGGCTCATAATATGGTGGGGGCTCAAACTCTGGGCGCACATCTTTGTATGAACGCTGAAATCTGCTAATCAAATAACAAAAGACCTTCACATAAGGGTTTGCACTACACTTTGTAGAAAGTAGAATATACTTCATACTGTCTTTCTGACTGCAAATAAAAAGTCAATGTTCTTTAACAGATCTCTTATATTAATAAATTGAATAACAAATGTAAATTATATAACATGAAAACTTAATACTTTTTATAAGCTTGTAACAAATGGATTCTTGCACGTGTTTACAACACTTAAACTTGGGGGAGAACAAATTTGCATAATGCAGAATATTAGAATGCTACCCCATTAATTTTAAGAATTTAGTAACTGCAAACTGTTTAGCATATTTACTCAAGAATTAAACAATTACACAAGGGTTCCCACAAATTAAATCTTAACTGCACACTCATAAAGCTCCTTCCTTACCTTGGTGGAGACCGAGGTGGGGTCCGATAACGTGGAGATGCCCTACGTCTTGGAGAGTAATCTCTACCACCACGTGGTGAATGTGGACGGGGAGTAGGTGATCGTGAGAATGTTCGAGACCGAGACCTGAAACAAGCAAACAGTGTCAATATAAACACGATATATATCAGAGAGGGCTCACTATGTACACTGAAATCCAAATACACTCCTCTGAAGATGGTAGTTAACAGGATTCAGTGAATAAGCTTGTGACAGAAACAGAACAAACACCCAGTGTACAGAGACTTTTCCAAGATGATGTATACTTTACATTACACAAACCTGCGTTATCTTCTCAAAATATGAACTTAATGAACACTGTTCACTGATTCAAATTATTTAAGGTTTCAACAAAGAATTTTATAAAAAAAATTAGATTTTGCTGCATAAGTGGATTCATTAGAATCTCCTGCAACATCAAGCAAAGTAAGAATACCATGAGGAGGAGACAAAAATGCCTTCACACATAAGTGTATTACCTAATTTGCTTCAAAACACACAACTTGCTACCTCACCTGCTAATAGTGAAGGATCTGGAACGTGATCTTGTCCTCGTTCGAGTCCGGGATCTCTTCCGCGGTGTCCTTGATCTGGGAGTGCGAGACCTAGGAGTCCTGCTTCTAGACCGGGTTCTTGAGCGTGTTCTCGACCTTGACCGGGAACGTGTGTAAGAGCGCGAACTTGAGCTGCGTGACCGAGATCGTGGAGAGTAGGAACGAGGTGAACGAGAACGCTTGCTACGCCGCAACTTATGATCACGTTCATCCTTTTCTCTCAGCATACGCTCAAATGCCTCAAGTGGATCATCTATTGTCCTGTAATCATAGCAACACAACTTATTTGCTGCCAAAGCCATTAACCTAATCTAATTAAAAGTTAACACACAGAATATGAGTTTCCATCTTTATTTTCTTTCATCCCATTAAAAAATATGAAGTATTACCATCCAAGTAAATGACTATGTGTGCTTTAGTTAGGGTTTTAGCTTTTAATTAGGTTAGTCTGGCACTCATCAACAGTGAAATAGAGATGAAAAACGGGAGGTGGGTACTGCTAACAAGCTGCGCAAGCAATGGCTGATTAACTGTGATTGGTCACATGGGCCCTGCTACAGGAACTACAAAATAGAATCATTCCTTCTTTTTAGAGATCTTGTTCTAGGTTAATATTTCACAACTTCAGGGATTCTTTCAAAGTGTGTCCAATTTATTCATACAGTGGCACATAAAACTTGCTCTGGTAATATTACTGTACTCTGATCACTCCTCATTCTGTTACACAAAGTAGTGTTTGTGTTACAGATGCATACCACATACAAATTTTGCTCCCAACTTACCCTGCCTGATTTCCATTATGGATACCCCCACGACTAAGTCCTGGTGGCGGAGGTTGATGGTGCATGTGGCTGCCACGATACCCACCTGAAACAATAATACAGCCTTCAGAAAAGCATGAACACAGCAGTAGTAATTGTGGTCTTGCTGTAGTCTGTAGGTAGTTACCAACATTTCAGAAAAAACATATTACCTCTTATCTTCAGCATAGAAATGAGATACAATGCTTTCCTTGAAAATGTTGGTTACCACCCACAACCACAAGACTACAGACAGCAACACCACCCAGATCACAATCAAAATCTTCACCATCAGAATCTGAAACCTCACGCAGCAGTAGTAAGTTCACGACCTTCTGAATGTATCACACCCACCCATATGTGAGTATTGTGACCATGGCTCTAGGAAAATTCTCAGGCCTTTGCCACAAGGTGGATTAATGGAGAGCTGTAGAAAATATATGCAAGGCTGTGAGGTTCTTTAATGGCAAATTTTCAACTGCATTGGTGAAAGTTATGTGTAAGCAAAACTTCTCATTCATGCTTTGGGGCAGCAGCTAGCTTATGTAGTAAAAGTATTTAGTGATGAACTGGACGCATGTTCCATTCCTGGGATGCAAACATATTTTCCCTTAATCACAGACATCACTGAACGAACACACTGACATCAACTCACCATGCATTATCCTTCCCCGACCTCTATGATACCCTCTGAATGAACCTCGCACTGGGTGGCCATCTCTATCCAGATCAGCATAATGTGGAGGTCTGGGGCCAGGTAATGACCCTGAAATGTATAATAAACTGGTAAAAAAAAGAGCTCACAACAGAGGATGGTAATAAATGGATAACATGTTCCAACCTGCCCACTCAACAACGATGATGCAGGCAGGATAATAGAATGTCCATCACTGTCTAAGGCTATCTGCATATATGGATAAAACAAGATTTGGAAAAGAAAATTTACATACACAAAATTTTATACTTCTAACAATGAAGGAAAATATTTGGCATGCTTTGTATACAGGCATAAAAAATGTGAACAGTTAAAAGCTAGAGTATGTATGCTTGTACGGATTACATGTACATGGACATATCAAGTCACAGTTTTTTTTATAGAATGTAAAACAATAAAATAGCACTTGCACAAAATCTACCATCAGTTCCTGGTCTAGTGGTATTAAATAGTGAAGTAATGGAGGGACAGATCTAACACTTTGTAATGCTATACAAACTTCCCTAAGAATTTGTAAAAAATATTGTTTTGCAAGTTAAAATATACAAACACTGTGACAGTACATAGCATTTTGGTTATATCTGACAAATTTATGACACAGTTAGAGTTTGCAGTAGTGCCGATTATACAAAGAATGGTTCGGTAATTTTCATAATTATTGCTAGCCTCACCATGTTGGCTGAAGCATTTAAAAGTTCTTCTCTCAACTTCCTGTTGAATATTTTGAACCACCTCATTCTATTCTGATGGCCAAAAATCTGTAAAGCATGATTTAATTTCTATTCCTAATGATTAAACAAATGTACCTTCACTATTTCTTCCCAGGACCTCTTGCTGATAAATTTTCATTAATTATTTGGCTGAAGGACCAGCAACTCTATAATAACTAACCTGCCTCATGATGATAAGATGGATGCCCATGTTCAAAATGAGAACCACGTGATGTAAAATTTCTGAAACACAAAATTGTTTTCATTACTACACTATAAACTACCAGATCATGTATCTTTGCTACTAACAACACAAATAATTTAACAAAGATGCCCACAATGATATTACAGAATGACCTGCTTAACACAGAAAACATGGGGAATACAGAAATATTTAAAGGATCAGTACTAACAGCATAAAAAATTCTGCGTAACCAACCGACACTTCAAATTTCCTCCTGACACAATAAGACGCTTGTGTGGACTTTTAGGCAGACACCAACATTTCAGAGAAACATATTGCTTCTATCTTCAGGGCTTAGTATGTTCCTCTGAAATGCTGGTATATACCTGCAAGTCCACACACCATAAAAACCCAGAAGACCAACATCTTTTTATGCTCCCCAAGAATTTGTAGCACACATCACTACCATCAAAGGATAAACTAAAAAGTGAATCCTTCATCAAACATTTTTACATCATAGAAGAAAAACAATTTTAATACATAACATTCAGTGTTTTTAGTAAAACAAGGAACAGAATGTGCAAGAATTTGTACAGTCAACACTTCACAGAACACAATTGGGAGTTACTGTCAAAGAAGCCTAGATAATGTGTTGCCACATAAAATGGACGTGGATAGAATCAAAGAAAGAAAGTTACCTCATTTGACACTAGGACCAGCTGCTACCAATCAAAGTTGTAAAATAAGAAACCACAATTTTTAAGTTATACAGACTACAAACTATTAAGAAATAAATTAACTACCTATACAACCTTTCAACACTGGTGTGGCCAAACAAAAAACAAGTTACCTGCTGGCTACTATCAGAACCAGAGAAGCAGGAAACTTCACACCACAACTGTATGAGCATTAATCATTTAAACAAGGAAACAAAAGACAAAGTGGTAAATAATATGTGTCACAAAATTCTTTTGGCATTTACCTGTTATACCAAAGGTACAAAATATTTTACATACTGACACTCCATTTATATAAAGCACTGGTACAACTAGAATCCCTTCTTGTCTTCAAGAGCGTGGTAACTCGGAGTTTTAACACATCAGGGCTGCAGCTAATCAAAACCAACAAATTACTGCCTACACTGACTTTAAAATAAGGATATACTTTTACCTTTAATGTTCTCAGATAAATTCAACATTTTTATTACACTGGGAACACAAAACCAAAGCACAAGGAATTAGATTATAATACTGCATGTGACCACTATGCACCATTTAACTGCACTACATAGAAGAGTACAACATGAAATACGCAGCACATGAACTACATCACAATAAAAGGCCCTCAACTGTACAAAACAGTATAAAACAATGCAAACAGCAGCAGGTAAAACTGAAAATGATCTGCAATGAAATAAAATCAGAAATAAAATCTGCAATAAACAAAAAAGTTGTCTGCAAATATGAACATACACCATGCCAATTAGCTACTTGATTACAAATATTTTCTAAGCTGTGGAGGTAGGGGGTGGGAGGGACATGCGGTAAATTTATTCCTCGTCTACAGACACATTCAATTCCAAACTTATCATTATGAACAGTAATCTCATAACAACCTAATTTCCAGAAGCATCTTAAAAAGGTCTAGAGATCTAGTTTCCTAAACTTTAATACATTCTGTCTGTTATATATCACATAATCATTTCTGGGTGACTTGGGGAGTTTATATATCAACTGAACTATGTGGTCAAGCTATAAAGTTTCACATATCAAATTTTTCATACAGAATGTAAAATGTAGAAGATAGATTCATATAATTTCTGGTGATCACAAAAAAAAAACCCTCAAAATATATTTGGGGAGAAGCCAATCAGTTAAATGCCAATGTGCTACCTTCTTACACCAGGTCATTAAACATGCTATATGCCCAGTTCTAAATGGGCAGTCCAATAATTATAACCACTCCTTCCATCTCATACATAATGCATTAAGGCAGCTACCACTGCACTTCCTTTTCACTTTTAAATGTGCATTTCAAGAGTCTCAGGCAAAACTAACACAGCTATGAAAATAAATAAATCAACCCACACAGAACTGAATTAGCAGTTACGAGTTGTGGAGGAACTAACAGGAAGACCCATGGGCCTAACATGCTGGCCTGCACGAGACCTTACCCAGCAGGGAACGCAGAGTCAACGAGAGGCGTGGCAACCGGTGGGGGCTGCCTCAGCAGTAGCACCCTATTGTGTTCTGATGATGAGGATGCTGAGGTAGAGATGGAGGATCGCAGTAGGGGCGGTGGCAACGTGCGAGGGGGCAAGTACTCCACACCACCGCCTCCACCACCACCCAGCCTAACACATTTCAATTCAAATAAAGTAGAGCCCATACAATAACACAAGCACCTACTTACAGTACACAGAACCATTTGTTTCTACTTGCACACAGGGAACTTTTAAAGACAAAGACTTCTTTGGTTTCTTTATTTTCATAGTAAAAAATGTGTAAGAGGAAAAGTCATCTACTAATGTTAGTTTTACAGTAGGAGAAGTAGTACACAGACATAAAACACTTCTGTGCATGGCTCAAGGAATATAACAAGAGGTCGGTTTAAATTCGGACTTATATTTTCAAAAAGCATTCATTACTAGTCTGCATACCTCACTGGTGCATGCTAAACCAAGGTTATTTAGCCCTGCAATCTCAAAACATCAGGCTGAAACTAAACAACAGCTTAGTATTATTTTATTACTAAAGAAAATGGTAAAAAAAAGTTAAATTTGAGCTCCGTGTAGATGAGACATTATTTTGAGCTGATATGAAACAAATTAAATACAGCCAACAAACTTTAGTGTAGGCTCTCCAAAAAAAAAATCAACTTACATGAAAACCCAATGTGCAGTTTCACCAAAACATACACAAAGACATGACTTCTCCATTGTTTGTGCACTTTATACACTCTGCGCAAGGAACAGACAACAAAGAGATTCCTAGCAGCCTGTACTTCGCAGTCATACCTGATTTGTCCATAGGGATGTTCTCCTCTATACGAGTGAGGGACTGGCATCCGATGCTGGAAACGTGCTCCAAGGGTCTCAATAGGCTGAGCTACAGGTTGTTGAGTCTGCGGTGGTGCAGGTCCTACTGAAGAAGTGAATGATGGCTCTTCACCAGGTGGAAAGTTAGGTGGTGGCACAGATGTATCAGGCAGAGGAGCTGACTGTATGTCTTGGTTGTGTTCATCAATTGTTGGAGTCCCAGGGCGCTCCTCCACTGACCGTCTCGGACTGAACAAAGCACAGAAAAATGTAACTTTAAAGGCTTCACAAACATTGTGATCTCCATTTTAGTAGAACAATGAAATATGTAAACACATTAAACAGAGAAAACATACGTAAATCGAGGTCTTCTGGGTTGTGATGCCATGTGGACCTGTTCATCATGGAGGAACACAAGACCACACTGCATCACAAAACAGATGACCATTGTCAACAAAATAAATTACAATGAAAAACTGTGTCTGAACAAGGTAAAAACACATTATCATTGTAACCACTGATGAAATATATACACATATAGAGGAAAATGCTGCTGTAATTAGCTCTTACTACATCCACACCAAAGGTTGACAAGAATAAAAACCTTGAAGAAAGTACATGCAGCTGAGATAGTCTTTTTATACTACTTAATGTAAACATATTATGCCCCAATAAACACAATGTCTTAAAATCTCTATCTTCCATACAAATGTTAGGTAAAGGATAATTTTGAATGCATAAATCTGAACTGAGATTCTTAATCAAAACAATAAATAATCTCACTTTAACAAGACACCATATCTTTATACATGTAGGACATTACAGTATTATAAATGTCAGTGATTGTTGTATTATGCCCATAAAGTTAGTACAAAAACGCAGTTCCAGGTTCACTAACATCTTACTCACCCTGAAGGATGCACTGAATGCATCCCAGGCATATGCTGAGGCTGCTGAGCTGCTGGCGGTGGTGGCTGTCCTTGGGAAGGCTGGTGAGGGGCTATCTCATGAGCTGGAGGCATTATTATGTGTGTTAGGGGCACTCCTGGTGGACCAGGAGGACCACCATTGGCGTGCATGGTCACAGATGGTCCAGCAACACCTACACAAAAAAAGCACGACAAAAAACATGAGTCCCCATACAGACATCGTCAACTTTCAGTTCTATCACTCTTCTTGTGCCAAATGTTCCTACAGTCAGTGTAATCTGTAATACTGAACCTGCAAGACGAGCATGTGCATGCATCCACACACGTGCGTGCGTGCATGCATGTGTCAATGGGCAGCACAGCCAAATGTGCAAGAATGAGCTGTAATACAAACCAACATTTGATAAAATGAATGTAGTAATACTCTCCTTGTTAAAAGATTTTGTTTTGCTACAATTAAGAAAACGGCAAAGCCCAGAAGACAGCAGCCATCTTCATACTCGCAACCACAAAACTTGAAATCTCACCTAGCAAGTTACCTCACACATGCAATTTGTTACTTATCAAGAAACCAGTACAAGTAACAGTACCAGGCCCAAACTGTCTGTTGTTCTAAAAAGATATAATAAGAGACACTCGAGTACATGAGAAATCACACGAATGGAGCACATATCTCTGCAAGATAACTCATCCAAACTAGATGAAAACAGAGTGTGTGCAAGAAACATCACAAACAATACAAGGATTGGCTGTATATATGAGGGCTCAAAATAACTCACCTGGAGGTTGAGGAACAAGCTGCAAGTGTGACGGCAAAGGGTGTCCATGTGGACGCAGAGGGTGTCCTCTCTGGGGATCCTGAATGTGAACTGGCGGAGCTCCATGTCCAGCATCTGGCGGTAGCAACGGAGGACCTCCATGTTGCACAGGTCCAGGAAGAGCTGTGTAATCACAAACCAATTTCACATTTTGCATGATCTTTATTTTCCGCCCTTATGAAAAATGAAAACTTCTCATTCAATATGGATGTCTCAATAACCTGTGGACCACTCGGCATACAAATAAACACAAAGACAAATTTGCAGTTTACTTCTCACAGATCCTTTATTCAGCAACCTTACATTTTATATGGCAATTGGCCTTCCAAAAACATGCAAAATTTGAGACTGCATTCACGTACGATGTAAAAAAATATGACGGCCAATTAAAACCCATATTTACCTTTTCATTTTATGGTAATAGTGAACTGTTTGACCCAGGCATTATTTTGGACACACACTATAACATTCTTATGAAACATCTTAAATGTCAGAACAATACACGACATTTTTAATTTACTAAAAATCTGAACAAGCAAAACTACGCTCAGAAATAATCACTAAATTGCATACCTTCACCAAATGGACTGAAACATTTGAAGAAATGTGGGCAACATAAATTATTTTTGCTTGACCTTAAACAGACCTCATCATCTTTAAGTCTTTTAATACTACATAATTATAAAGAGTTTTGATGATGGCATATTACAATTGCTATTACTGGACATCTGGACTTTGCCTATTGTCTGGTATTCCATAAAAGAACACATTTCAGAAATTAAATATTTCCATCCTACTCTCCTTTTTACATGTCGGCAGAAAAACGCACGGTTTCCAATATATCATGTTGTATTCAGAATACCAAATGTTCGTTAAATATAACTTCAGAAAAGTGCCTCCTACAACTACATGGAACAGACATATACGCACTCTGCAACAAAGTTATTATGAAAGATAAGATACCACCTTTTCCTAGCTATAACATGCATATATACAATACCTTACAATTTTTTTTAAAATTTCTTATAAAAATGTAAGACATACCTAACAGCTTGTGACAGCATACTGGTTGTAAAACACTGCTTTATACAGCACTTAAATCACATATTCACTGTGGCAGTCACACATTCAAGATTAATACATGGCCTGGGGAGACAGCTCAGTCATTAGAGCGCTGCTTTTCGGACAAGCATCAGAGAGGAAAAGTCTCATTAATTCACCATGACAAATACCTAGTCCAGAAGAAGGTGGCCCTGGCTGTGGCTGGCGGACAACTGACCCACGTTCCAGATGTGATGACGATCCTAACACAGGAATTGTGCTAGGTACTGGTTGTCGCAGACGTGGTGGATGAACATTAATACCAGCTGATGTAATCACTTCCACCTTTACTAGGTGCACATCCCCTACAACACAATAAAATGACTCAACCCTTAGCCTCTTCAGTTAGGCTATAAATAATAATTATGGTGTTGTACCTTAAGACTTGAACACCAGACAAACCACCACATCATAACTGAAACCATCAAATCAGTCTCCAAATGTTTATACCAAACACAATTGTGCTGAAACTGTTCATTACTAGAGCCTTGTTAATTAGTGGAAAGTTCTAAATTTCATTGACTAAACAGATTTACCATATACGCTGTATGGGAAAGTTTCTCAAAGTCTTCTGTACATGCTGTTAGTTTTGATTTGCAGGACTTCTGCACACATGTCAAAAGACAAGTCCATTTCTTACAAAACTGTCATGAGGCACAGCAGCACTAGATGACAAGTGCAGTGACTCACAGTGAAGTGGCAGAGACAAACCTGCAGGTGCATCAGTGAATTCATGTAGTGATCCTGAAGGTTCAAGCGGAATCTGCTGCATTAATAACGGTACCCCAATTACTGGTACAGGCTGTCTCACAGTGCTTTTGTTGTAGCCTGTCGCATTCTTGAAGTTATTCACATTGTTACGAAGGAAACGATTTGGTATAAGCGTATCAGGAGAGACATCTTTCTCTTTGCAATCAGGACACTCATGATCCTCCGATTCAAGAAGCACAGTACGGATACCTGGATTATAAGAAACAATCCTGTTTGCATCACACAATACACTAGAAGAAACCAAACTACCAAATTTATAATATACACTTAAATTTCAATATTCTCACTCTTGCATGCTACCTAGATGGAAAGTGTTAGACAGACCATTATACCTACCACCGTAAAACTCAATAAACGAAAGGCATCAATTCCTGACAAAAATTGAAAGACTTAACAGCATTTCAACACGCATGAAAATGCATTACAGATACATCAGGTATACAAGGTATATCGCATACGAAGTCGCCAGTCCTCGGTGTGTTAAATTATCAAAAGTAGCACGCAGTAATATTTAACCACACAAAGTGGTTACCTAAGGATGCCTTACATTGCCTCCAATTCAGAACAAATAAGTATACCACCATCATCAGTTTCTGGGTGGTGAATACAGTTTATTTACAGCCAACAGATCTACTAACAAGGACTAACACCTTCTTGCAAGCATAACTCTCTGTTTGCCACCTCATCTGGCAATGTCAGTATTGTCTGTGTCTGTGCTTACTGAGTGTGTTATAGCGCAAAGTTCCGACTGACCAATTACCTGATCTAATGAGTATTTTGCTATTTAATATGCCATTACTTCTGTATTACTGGCATAAACATTGAAGACAATCCCTGTCCCTGCATGAAGAAGTATAAAGTACCACTGAATAAATAATAATTCAGATAACAGTGTTCACAGCAGTAGCAGGGAGAAGCTCAGAGAGGTTAATCAGCAAATTTTACCGAGTAGATAGACATGCACACGGCTGTGCCTCAACTTCATTTGGAGTGTCTATGTGGACCACCACCACTCTGACTGATAAGTAACTTGCTCTAAAAACACTAGCCAAAACCGGCTGTGCCTGCCACGATGCAGCTGATATTCTACAGCGCGCAATATTTTATCACATTTACAGCACGTGTACCACACTTCCTAACAGCTTACATTCATCACAGAAGGAGTTTCCACAGCAGGGAATCATCACTGCATCAGCAAGCAAATCCTTGCACACGTTACACAGAAGATCCTCTGGGATCTCTGGTTTCTCAACAACAGGTTCTGGTTCCTGTTGAAATGGAGGACGCTCCTTTTTGCCTTCTTTATACGCCTGGCTGGAAATAAAGGACTGTAGCTTTTAATACTGCAAAATGCTTTTACAACGTACTTACACCCTCAAAGGTTATTAATTAGATTGTTTATAAAACAAAATCTTCGTGATACAGTATGCAAAAGTGAAGTAAAACTGTCCATCATCATCATCATCATCATCATGGGGGTGCTAAGGGGGATGGGGGAAGTAGGTACAGCTCCTACTCTCAGCAGTAGATGGGGACAAGTGTTCAGTGTCATGCCCCAACTGCACTTTACTCCTGGGGAAACAAACCCCAGACCAAACCTGTCATCCAGTCCATACTAAAACACTATACTGACTGAGCCACCCCAGCTCATAATAAAGACAACTATTCTAACCATTCAGCCAGCTTGACGAACACTACAGAGTTACAATGTAAAATTCATTATTCAGTCTTATAAACTTACTGATCAATTGCTGGAACAGCAAATTGTCCAGTTGGGGTCATCATTGCACCAGGCACACCAGGACCCTCCACTGGGACCATGAAACTACGTGGAATTCCAGTACTCTTTTTGATTTCTATTGGTTCCTGTAAAAAGAACACAAATTTAATTTTCACAAAAATTCAATTAGTGGTTCTCAAACTGTTATATGCAGACAGACATGACCAAGCAAACAAATGCCCTTTGGCAACTTGTTCCTAATGATCACTTTTCAGGACAATATTCTTACAAAGCATCAACTCATGTAAAAGAAATTAATGTTAGAACAATAAGGATAAAACTACAAAAACCATAAGCCCTAAATACAGGATTAATGATACTTATTTGTTGTCCATTTAATGACAGTCAGTAGCTCACACCACATAGCATCAAATGGCAAGATGATCAATGAATAATGAATTGGAAAGGACATGGTCATAATCTTATTTAAGGTCCTCAATGTGTCACATGACAGTAAGTGAATCATAAGAGTGAAAAACTGAAAAGCAATATACACAATGGCCCTCCAAAGGAGGCTTTTCTGAAAAACGACAAATCCATTCAAACCAATTTCCGTAAGTGGTTAGAACTTTATGTAACTCATATGTTTCTACAAATACTTAGGCAAATGGGTACCTGGTTTAAACCGAGAGGGCAGTTTTTGATCCAGTGTCCAGGCTGATGACACTTGAAGCAACGGTATGAACTGGGAACCTCTCCCATCTGACCAGCACCCCGTATTTTCATGTAACTATACAAAAGATAAGAATTCAATAACCCTCTACACTCATGAATCGTAACCTTACAAAAGAGAAAATGCCAATGAAGACAGCAATATTTAAAAATTCAAAATATTATAGTAGAGGAAACAATACAGTAAATAAAACTGTCTCAAAGAATGATTTCTTTACTAGTAACATCTTTAACATAAAGTATGCATCTTTTCGGATTAACTAACAAGCTTCACATTGTGTCCTAATGTAACATTAGAACTTACTTCACTGGATTGTAGTCTTGTGTTGACTGCGTCATCATAGCCTGTATTTTATCGTCTTCACTTGCATCCAAGCTAGATAAATCAACTGCCTGAAACACAAAAAGTACATTGACAATCTTTAGTCTGAGCATCCTGCTGTGTGCGCTTATGACTAATACGGATGGCAGAACTACAAACACAGTACGTAGAGATTCCATTCCCACCCCCAGCTTCTGGGAAAAGCTGCTGCTGAAGGAATCTGTTCCCTCTCTGCTAAGCCACCCTCCTCTCTCTCTCTCTTCTACTGGCAATCACCTTGGAGTTTACATAGCTGTCAAACTAAACATGACCGACTCGATACAGAACATGGTGTAAAACAATCCAATCTGAGCACAATCCGGCAACTCAGCACACCCTGGCAATACTGGCACTTTATTAATGCAGGAGGTTAAAATTCCCAAAGATGTGAAACAAATGCAACACGCTAACTTAGACTAGATGAGGCAATGTTAGAAGCAAAGAAGAACTAGTAACCTGTTATTCATTGGTCTCACATTTCACAGAGACATAAAAAGGCTGAGAATTAACTCACCTTTGCTAATCTGTGAGCTCCTGGATCTTGTCCCTCAATCGGCATGTCAACCTACAAGCAAACAGGTCACATTTGCATGATGCACCAAAATGTAATAATGTGAATTTACTGAACACCTTGAAAAATATGGCCTTGTATTAAGACAAGTGACGAGATTTCAGATTTTCACAGAAGTGACATAACAGCCTTCTGGGATACTGTGCCATGAACTCTCACAATACTTGAGAAATATCTCGGAGATGCACGCTGCCTCCAACATCAGTGCAACTCATCATCCTGATGACAGAGGCAGACACACCTCTGAAATGTAAGTCAAAATATCCCAGAAGGCTGCCATCTTTAAGACAGCCAACATTCATTCAGATATTTAACAGCTTGATTTTCACAGGCCAGTATTCAAAAATACTTTTACAAAATATACTATGGGGTTTTGAGAAATTTTGGATAAAACATAGAATGCTTCAATGAAACATATATCATACAATTATTCTACAGATTAATGACTTCATTTTGTGATAAAGTAAAAATTTTTTTTAGGAAGTTTCTTACATGGAGAGAGAATGAACCTAAAATTTCTGTAACTCGGCCACCATAAATCTCAACATGTCATCCACCAAAGACTACATGTCCAGGAAACAGACAATTTACACCTGTAATATTCATTCCAGAAGCACAACTCAGTTCAACAAAGCACTGACATGAAGCAGCCTACAGTCTACCGATTTCTTTTTAGTCCAAGTTCAAACAAAGAAAACTACTTCATTCAATGCTATTTTGAAACTTACCCCTTTGGACAACCCAGCCAATTGCTGATTCGACTCTGCACGATCCCTTAAAATAAATAAGAGAGCCAGAATGTGAGACATGCTTTATTTTATTAAAATCACTACTAACATTTACACCTTATTCTGCAATTGTGAACATCATTAACAAAAGCACACCAGTACAAGCTGAAGGTGCCAGCTAATGATAAAGATCGACTGAAATGTCATATATTTTACTGCAAGTGCTCTAACTGCTAAACAATATCTTAAAATCAGAGTTTAATAATGTTCAAAGCAAAGGTGACTACTAGATAAGTGTTATTGCTATTCACACATATAAGAGTTGAAATTCAAATTATAGAAGGAAGACGAAGACAGCCAAATAAGTCATATTACGTTTCAAACTTAAGTTCTGAACAGTTCATTCTGAAACGTTTCTGGCTATGACATTTTGTTACACGCAATATTAACACTTCTGATGCTCAGTTCCAACGGGTAAAAATATGAAACCAATGGAGTATGCTAAAAGGTCCACTTAAAAGACAGAGGAGGATACAAAAAGATACTGAGATCTGAAAGAGGTACTAGTCATGTGAAAGACGGCAATGGAACTACATCAGGATTACGCCCAAAAATAGGTTCTGGTATTGGCTGTGCTACATCTTCTGAGTCCTACTAGTACAGTGTTAATTCAATAAAAGTTAAAGTAACATAAAACAAACAACTCTTAAAAAAATTACTTCAATTACGTCCACCTTAAAGAAATGGAATAAGAAAATTCCTGCCTGGGAAAACTTTCATTTTACCTGTTACAAACTTCTGTATTATTACATTCCACAACTTCTGACACTTACCATGCCTTCTTTTGTTGTGCTGTCAATGGTATGCGGGCAACAATCAATGAAGTATTTTTGGGTATCAAAGCACCATCATCCGTATAAACTAGAAATCACAGAACAGACACCAACTGTAAATGCAATAAAACATCCACTTCATTCCTCAACACTTCACACATAAACACACAAAACTGTGTAAAACTGATACACTTTTCTCCATTTCCCAATCAGCCTACCACATCTTTTCTTGCAAAACACATCATTTTGATAACAGTTAATCTTTAAACACTAGTACAACATTTCATACCACCTCAAAGCCACAATTACACCATAAATAAATAAATATATACACACACACACACACAAAATGCCCTGATGGTGGAGGCAGCAAACAACAGCCATCTTTGTAGTCAATAGTAACAAACATGTATGTTCTGAAGCTTTCACAGTGACTTAGTATAATGAATTATTCTTGGGCGACCAGCCATGTCAGGTGGTTGAATGGAGAAAACACCAACATTTCAAGAACCATCTTCATCCTTGTTCAGGTACTGAAGTTCAGTACCTGGAGGATGAGGACAAAGACGGTTCTTGAAATTTCAAAATGCTATGATGTCAAGTATTTTCTGAAAGTAATATTTAAAAAGCATGGATTTATTTTGGGTTAGAATAATTCAATGACAGTGAGATGTTGTATGAGAACATACTTTCAAGGGCATATTTTCCTTTTCCCCATTTATCTCTTTATATACAGAGAGAGAGCCATATGAAAACTTATTTTTACACAATATGTAACATGTAACATTAATATTCTGTGGTAATGTTGCAATATTTTAATGAATAATATCAGTTAAGCCCAGTATCAAATACAGTTTTGTACAGATATATGTAATGCATCCCAATGTTAACACTAAATATAAATAAGAAAAACACTGCTGACCCACAGTGTTAAAATTTAATAAGATGTGTCATGTCATAGAAACATTTGCTGAACCCTGATGTATGCTGAAATATATGAATGAAAATACATTCAGAAGCTCGCTTCTTTTTACAATACTGTAGATAATTTAACAGTTTCCCAGCTGTTGATACTTCTTAATCAATACACCATAAACATATGTATCCTCACCTTCTTTAGTCTGTGCATTAGTGACTTGAAGATCAAAGTCTGTGTTCTTCCCAATCCGTTTCTGATGAAGAATTGCTTTCTTCAAGTCCCGCACAGATATGTGAAGACCATCAAACGTTACTGTATCATACTCAAGTGCTGATTTAAACTTATAATGTACAGACATATTCTGTCTTTACATTCTCATGGGTAATCTGTAGCACCTTAACTTGATTGCATCAACCTGAAACGAATGTTACATAATGATTTAGAGTTCACCTTAACAACACCCATGTCAGTGAACCAACAGAATTGATGAGACATGGTCTGATATACGAATAAACCAACTGATATCTGGTTCTGCCCCAGCAGCTTTACCCCCAAGGAAAGAAACCCAAGTACCCAGTGGAGTAATGGTTTGGATACTTTAGCAAAAACAAAACCTGCCCTGCTGAGAATCAAACCTGGGCATTCAGGCTGTAGCCCAGTCACTAAAGTAAGCTCTCCCTCCAATTGTAACACATACACCTCATATCAAGTTTCATACAAATGTATCCAAGGATTGAAAGACATTTGCAAAATATGTTGTAGACCTTTCAGTACAGTAGCCCTTATAATAAATAAAAGTAAACAAATATCAAGTATGCTACATAAAATTTGAAGTACATTACCCAAACCAGTCCAGAATTTTGGATGATTTCTTGTAGACTAATGGACATTACAAATGGGAGCTTTCCTAACTCTGTATTGCACCAAAACTTCACTCACTATATCTAGTCTCATGGTTTGGATGTTTTCACCTTATTTTGGACAGCTGACACCAGATATAAGGACCAGATGATAAGGAAGGGCACTGGGATCGAGTTACACCCTAATGACACGAACAGTGGATTGCCTCCACCTGAGCCAGTCATGGCAGTCTCTGAGCCACCCCTAGAAAAAATGTAGGAAACCTATGCCAGTGAGGCAGTGCTTGTCCTGCCTTTTTCAGGCTCTGAAAGAGGCTGCTTCATCAAGCATGTCTTTCCAGTATCCCTGTTTCCACGGTTTCAATTTGTTGTGTTTAGTGCAGTCCCCATGCTCTCAAGTTGCCTCCCTTGCTCAGCCTGTCTTCACCTAAATCTTCTCCCCTCACCCCTTGGTCCAGCCAAGTAAGAATATTGTGTAGCCTGCACCTATTTTTCCATCCTTCTTTCATGAGTGATTTATTCTCTGCCATGATGATACAGGAAGCAAAAACCTCTGAAACATTGATTAACTTCTATAAGACTTCTTCTTCTTAATGTGCCTATCCGTTCCAGATGTTGGCTATCAGCATAGCAATTTTAGCTTCACTGGCTGCTACTTGAAAAAGCCCTCCAGTGGACATCCAGAACCAAGTTTTTAGGTTCTGAAGCCAGGAGATTATTGGCCTGCCAAGTCCCCTCTTTCCGAATACTTTTCCCTGGATTATCAGCTGAAGCAGCCCATATCTATCACTATTTCTCATGATATGAACGAAATATTCCAACTTTAAGATGCAATATCTCACAAGTCTGTCATCTTGGTACTTATTTATTGAAAACACAAATGACAAATTGGTTACACTGGGAATTCAAGTGCACATGAACAAATGATGCAGAATGGGATACTTACAGTGGTAAGGTGAGGAAGGAGCTTGAGAAATTTCTGTTATTTCCTCCACTATTTTCCAATTAGAGTACCTAATGCCAGTATGTTTTGAGCGCCATTTCGTACAACACAACCTGAACTACATGAAAGCATCAGCATGATTTCATGACCTCTGAAATAACAGGGCACTTCCTAGTACATTGGTCCACTTGGTAGCTAAAACCCAAATAAGAAATGGCACAACTGTCATTCTACATTTCAACACCAAAAAATCACAATTAGCTATTTCAAATGACTACAAGCAGATAAAAAATTGAAATCACCAAATGATTCACATTTACCCCCCCCCCCCCCCCATATATATATATATATTACAGATCATTCGGTATATTGGCAATAATAACGTAAATAGGTGTTCCATAAACACCCGCGGTATGCAATAATCTTCACATCATAAACCTGAATCCTGCGAATGTATCGTTATAGTGGTACTCCGATAATCACTCCACGAATCCGTTCTAATGCAGTGTCGTACAAAAAATTGTCTGTAATAGGCATTTACGAGAAATTCAGTATACAAAGTCGTTGTAAAACATATTTATATGAATTACAATATTTTAAAGGATACGCCATCTCCTTTACAAATATACGACTTGGGCACACAATCAGACAAAAATGAGGCTTCGACGCACATAACGAGGTAACACTCGTCCTCCCTTTCCTTGTTATGTTCCAAAATATGCTAGTAGTAAATATACACAAATAATATCAGTTTATAAAAGGAAAATGATATATTATATATCACAATGCATAATCAATAATTACCTTACAAAAATGTATTGATTTTACTGAAAACAAGCCAAGCACACAATATAAAAACCTGTTACGTCAATACCGTAATCACTACCCAAACGTGTGTATTGCAATATTAATCTAGAAGTATTAATATTGCAATAACTGTTTATAAATCTACCAAGGTAAATGCTAATCCTAATTTTCAAATAGCAAACTAATAAAAATAATGAACTTAAACGTTTCAATAAATTTAATCTTATCTTGAATACAATAGTCCGTCAAGGACAAAGATGACGGAGAATAAATAATAAACACGTATGACAAACGCTAGGAATTATTGTGCAGGTGTTTCTTAGCAGTGCGGTGTTTGCCGAGATAATTGTAGTATCTGATTACCACAGATCACATACTATAAAACAATGATTATGACTAAACAGATAATCAAAATTAATTATTTATAGAATTTATTTATATTGCATAGGGAGGCCAAAGTCCTCAGAGGACCGTAGAGCCACAGAGGAAGGAAGGAATTTATATTCCATGGACACTTAATGGTCCTAAGACAAGGGTTTAGAACATGGGACGTATCACGCTTAAAGCAGGTCTTGTTTGGTAGAGTAGAGTAGAGTAGAGTTAACATCGGTTCACATTCTTGAAGCTCAATTACAAATTAATATAATAATAATATTGTGATGTTTCCATTGTTAAACAGTTAATTGCATTGGCTGCACTCTATTGGCCATAGAGAACTAAACCGGCAGACTTGCTAATTGTAATATTGCTATCCGTGGCGATTAACTATGCTCTTAAAATGTTAATCTGTGGATGTTACAGAAGAGCGTGTTAATTTGCGTTCCGTGTAGCATGTGGTATATGGAAATACATTAAATTCATAATGCTTTGTATTAAACCTATTCCTATATGTCGTATACTTTTGTCACAAGTTCAGTTTTATGTGCTCTGTGGGGTTGAGGGGGTTATGTGAAAGCTTAAGATCTTGAAAGTCAGTAACACATAATAAAGAAAGATTCTCTTTTGTAAACGTTTTTCCGAATAAAAATAAATTCTTCCTCTGATATGTATATACATTAAGTAACAAAACATAAAATTCTATTAAGCAACATGTTTCTTACAAACGTGAATAATTTTAATATATATTCATACCCATAATACATCCGAATTATAAAATTAAAATCTGAAGTTCTGCAAAACATTTGTTAGAAGGGATTGTTGAATTGACTGGTTCAATCAAACAACTATATAAATGGCATTATGGGAATATCACCCTCAAGATGAAATGCTGGTAACCACCTCCAAGATCACATGGCTTCAAAACCCAGACACCCAGTCAACAAGATACATAAAATATTTAGTACATTAAAATGCCATTAAGTAATTCATACTAAAACATTACTTCAACCAGTAAGAGAATATATTTTTAAATAAAGGTGGTTTTGTAGACTGACAGGTTATTTGCTGTATGTTCACTGCTTTATAAAGATCTACATTAATTTAATTTTGTAGTTTATTATTTTACATAACACAAACACAATATGAGTGAGAGTGGACATAAATGTAATAAAGGTAATTTTCTCCTGGTACTTATGAAAGCACCATGACATGAAGACACTAGGAGTTGACATAGCTTCACATTCTTAATTTCAACAAGCAAAGAATCCCAATACTCACTGGACAGACTGGATGTTGTGACAAAGAGAAAAGTCATGCCATGCCAGGAATAAAACCCCAGGTGTTCTGCTCATAATCTAGTCATCATACAGACTAAACTGTCCTGGCTCCTCATGAGTACACAATGTAAAAATGGTAATAGTAGGGTCTGAGATTCTCTTGGCAGTGAGTATGAAGGTGGCTGTCATCTGTGTTGTAGCACTCATCACCCTAATGATGGATGCAGCAAAGACCTCTAAAACACTGAACAACTTCTATCACACTACATGGCACCACAACCCAGTAGACAGCTAACCTCATAATCCATCTTTTACGAAAATGACGCACAAGATGTTATGAAATTAATAGAGTGTCAAAAAATGTATGAAGGATTTGATAGAAATTGAGTGTGGCCTATTTAAAAGCACTATTCTGTTATTCACCAGGGGAGACTAAAAACAATGAACTGAGGGTACTTGTTCCCTGGCAGACACTAGACCTGTATATCTCCTGAACATAAATATCAGCCACATGAGCCTAGATATGCTTTAATCACCACCTGACACAATGGTTCAACATTATCATAAAATCATAGATATTTTGCATTATGATGTTAATGCAACACTTCCATAGGCTGCATCCAGATCTTGTATAGTAGACTTGAGATCTTTGTTTAAACTGTAGGGTTTTGAACATGTATTCAACAAGTGATTTATCAGAGTAGATTCTGCAATGTTTTCTTCAGACACCACTGTTGCTCAGCTTTATTCAAGTTGTATATGGGTAAAGGCCATTGAATTGTTAAAAAGTAGGACTCTGTGGTAACATTTTAGTTTGTATACAATACAGCCATGATTACCAATAATCCAGTGACAACACACATTCACTTCAAGTACTATTTAGGTTCTTGAATAATTAAATAAATAGCCATTACAAGACCTCAGTGGTTATTTGTCAGTATTTAATTGCTTTTCTCTGATGCTGTGATTTTAAAACAAAATTTCCCCAGACATGAACAACAATGAAAATAAAGATATCAGGATTTACGCCTACCAGTCATGATTATTTCCGAAGAGAAAAATTACATGAAGTCGCTGATAATTTTGACTAACAATCTGGAAATTAGGCACCAATACATCGTCAAATGATCACACATTTGTTGAGAAGAAAGAATTGTCAACTCACGCTATTCTGTATCTGTTTTTGACCTTTCGGGAAAAGCACAGCTTTCATTTCAAGATATATGTTGCCCTGATTGGAACTGAACACAATATATTTTAAGTATCACATTGTTTCACTGTACCTCACATTTTGACACGATACTACTCATTACCTCCCACCATGCTATTGGCAAACACAACAAACGAAACAGCAATATCAGCTACAAGTCTTGTGTCCCACATATTTTAAGGCAGTCAATGGCTCAACTTAAGAAAGGCAAGAATTGTCCCTTATTTACCTGTTCAGATTTGTCTGTCACAATCACACAAGTGTTACTCACACATACTTCAAATATAAATATTAAATTTCATAATGCAGTTTGTTAACATTGTACCAGGCAGTTTCTTAATGGCATTGGCTATGAACCAAACACCACACAAGCTTGTCAATGCCATGTCTATACTTCTCTGATAAAATTAAAATGTAATCTAAATAAATTATTGGTAAATATTATGAGAAGTATAGCCAAAATAAAGACTATTGCACACCTGAATGAGTATCAGTCTTAGTTGTGACAATTAAAAAAATACTAATTATTGATCTTTTAGTTTTTTAAAAATTTAAAATGTAGACTACTTTTAAATTGAGAGTTTCAATTACAGTCTTGTTTAATTATTTCGTCCTTATCCTTGGAGATGTTTTGGTTCATCTGATCATTTTCAAATTCAACAAAATCATCAAATAGACTTGGCCAAGCTTCTGTGTCATCATACGAGCTCAAATCATCACCAACTGCCTCAGAAAAATTCAGGAACATGTTCCATGTGTCACGTGGGATGCCCCTAACCTGGGGGTGAGTCTCAAGAAAGAACAGCCAACGAGAGAGTATGGGTGGCTCTCTAACAGAGAATACTAGTCGCCACAGGCAGATGGCCATGTCAGATGGTAAGATTCGCTGCCCTGACTCAGCATCCAGTCCAAATCTGAATGTGAAACGATATAGATCCTTGAATAACTCTGGGTCTCTAGTTACTTCAACCACCAACTCTGGTAGTCGAGCCTGGATTCCTTTCACCGAGTCCACTCGCATAGCCCTACACCCACTCACAAACTCTGCTCTACTGAAACGGCACATCTGCTCTGCACTAAGACGCCATGCAAGGACCAACACCTTAAACTCATCTGGTGACACAGACAGATCTGCACATAAGCTTTCAATACCATCAGCTAGCATGGCATCCTCATTACAGTCACGATACTGTTCAAACATGGCATTAAGCTTAGCTTCTGAAGGTTCTCTGCCTTTTCCATCCCCTCCACTGCTTGTGGAGCGGCCCAGTGGGGGGATACGAGAATAAAATGTCCTCGGGGTTTTGTCTCGATGCAAGCTGCCACAGTTATCACTTCCAACCACCATGACCCCAGTACCTTTGCTGTTCCCATTGACCTGGGTTTCCACAGCAGTCAGGGGAGGGCAGTGCACCTCTTGGGATGGCTGCAGTTCCA